CCTTCTATCTGAAACACTCTCCTCTAGCCTTCCCAGGGCAGCCCCCATTAACTTAAATGTCACCTCCTCCAAGAAGCCTTCCTGGACCACCTGGTTAAAGGAGGTCTCTTCCTGAGCTCTATTGCCATATCCTATTTTTCCCTTCACTCATCACAGTCTGTAACTATTTATTGGTTCATTAATGTCTCCCCTCCATCTTCCCCCATCCACTCACCCAGAGTAAAAACTCTGGGAGGACGTGAATGTGTCTATCTCCTTCATTTCTGTATTCCCCAGCATCTGGTACTTGTCTGGCTCATACTAGGTTCTCAATAAATAGGTGGTAAAGGGCTAAATGGTACACAGTAGGCACTCAATTCATAGTTTTTAAATTATTGGCTTCTCCAGGCCCCTCCCCTTCCCCACTGTGTCAGCAGGTACCAGGATGTTTACTGTAGCTTGGTGAACCTCTCACTGCACCAGGGACTCCCAACTCTTTGCTAGCCACCACCAGCCACCCCTGGGACAGCAGCCACTCCCCAGGAGGTCTCACTTATTCCCCACCTGCTGAGCAAACTTTGTGTACACATTTTCTCTGCTGTGTATTAACAAAGCAATGGATTCCTCCCCCACTCCGCCCACCCCCATCAAATTATGTTTCATTCTAAATGGGTCTTTTCAAACCACACCCTCCGGGAGATTCTGCTAACATCCCCTCCGTAGGGTGGGTGCTCCCTGGGGTGCTGTAGGCGCCAGGCTTGAGGTCACCCTTTGGCTTGGAGTTCCAGTTCCATCTACCCAGGGATATGTTATCACATCATATCTCTGAGCTAATGATCCTATTCCAGAATTATTAGGGCTGCCTGTTTAAAAATGCCGATTCCTGGTCCCACCTCAGAGCCACAGAACCAGAGCCAGGGGAGAGGTCGGAGTCAGGCCCAGGAATCCGCATTTGAACACACTTCCCAGGTGGTACTGAGGTATGGTAAAGGTTGGGGATCCCTGAGCTAGAGGATGGGAAAGCATTTTGCAAACCACTCAGATGTGAGCTGTAATCACCATTTCCACAAGTCCTGGGGCCGGCAGGGGCAGGGCCTGTGGGACTGGGACTGAGCAGCCCTACATCTGGGTGGCTGCAGCCCAGGCCAAAGCAGCAGCTGGTGTCCCACTGGGTTCCCTGAACTCATTAATCATGCCCCTGCTCACACCTGGCAACTGGCTAGGCTGGGCCTGGGCTCCCTGCAGGCTGTCAGGTCTGGGGGAGACCCTGCCCCAACATCATCTCCCACCCCCACTACTTGCAAGGATAGGCTCTGAATTTGAGAGCTTCTTGTGACAGGCAACCTTGAAGATGGTCCCAATGATCCCGCCTCCTGGCATTCACACCCTGTGTAATGTTCTCCCCTGGTGTGTGGGCTGACTTGATGAGTGGCTTTTAGTGAATAGAATATGACAGAAGTGATGAGATGACACTTCTGAGATCTGGTGATAAAAAGACTGTGGCTTCCATCTTGGGTGCTCTCTCACACCCTCTCTGGGATCACTCACTCTGGGGGAAGCCACTGCAAATGTGAGAGGCCCAAGTGGTGAGGGACTGAGGCCTGTCCACAAGCTTAGAAGTGGATCCTTCCCAGTTGAGCCTTCAGATGAAACCGCAGCCCCCAGCCACCAGCTTGAGCCAGAGACCCCACCCAAGCCACACTAGGATCCCTGACCCTCAGAAGTTGTGAGATAATAAGTGTTAGTTGTTCTAAGCTGCTAAGTTTTGGAGTAATTTATTAAGCAGCAATAGATAACTAATATGCCTCTTCATCTGGGTGACAGTTCTTGCTACACCCCCTCATGAGGCCTCAGCTGTGGCCATAGCAAACAGTTTAGTGGTCCCCTGAACGGGCCAAGCTGATTCATATCCCCAGGCCTTTATTCATGTAAATCCATCCTCTAGAAAGCCTTCTCCTGGGCCATCTAGCTAACACACCCCTCTCTCAAGACAGCCTGGCTGTTAACGTGCTCTGTGAAGCCTTCCCTCATTTTCTGTGCCCACTGCAGCCCAAGCAGTTCCTAGTAAAACATGTCTGCTGCACTACCACCTTGTTCATTTACACGTCTGTCTCCCCTACTAGACTGTGAACTCCTAGAGGGCAGGGCCACAGTTTGAGTCTCCTCTGTTTTACCTGATGCTCAGCACAAGATTTGACACAGGTTTGATGAATGAATCTGATGAACGAATCTGATGTATTTGATGGATGAGTTTGATGAATGAATAAACAATGAACAATGAACAATGGGTGAATGATATCATGCTCACTCATTCTGTCTCCTCCCCCTTCTCACCACTGCGTCTTCCAAGGCTCTGCATTTTCCCACTCAAGTCTGTGAAACCAAATTTGTTATCTTCCCCAAGAAACCAGCCTTTTCTCCCAACTTCTTCATTTCTTTTCCAGAACCATCACCTCCCCACAAGCTGGAATTCCCTGTTACCTTTGACTCCCCTTCTCCTCTCTTTCCAACCTGTCATCACTGCCCATCTGTTCCATTAGCAAAACAGCCGTTGGTCATACTCCTCCTCTTCCCCAGTGATGTGGATGCCCCAGTCCAGGCTGCCATCACCTCTTGAGATTGCTACAACAGCTTCCTAACAGGCTACTGACTCCTGTTTCTTGAATTCCCCATTCATCCCCCCAGGAATCTTCTTTAAAATGTTGCCTGGCTGGAGAGCTAGAGTGAAGAGCCGTGGATAGCACTTTATAAAGCTGAGGGTCACTGTAACCACTACCTGGCTCAAGAACTACCAGTGGCTTTCTGGTGGCCCTAGAATAAGGTCCAAACTCTTAACCTGGCATTTGAGGCACCCCAGGATTCAGCCCCAGCCCTTGACAGTGGCAAGGGGAAGTAGCACAAGGAGGCGCCAAATCCCCTATACCACCACCATCAGGATCAACATCACCATCAAGATCAACACTACCACTGCAATCAGCACCACCATCACAGCTAACACTGCTCAGTACCAGCTACAGGGTAAGCTTCATGTACGTCATTTCATTTGTTGTTGTTGTTGTTGCCATTGAGTCGATTCCAATTCATGGCAACCCCAAGTGTCCAGAGTAGAACAATACTGCACAGGTTTTCAATCTTTCAGAAGCAGATTTCCAGGCCTTACTTCTGAGGCACCTCTAGATGGATATGAACCATCAACCTTTCAGTTAGTAGTCCAGTGCTTAACAATTTGTGCCACCCAGGGACTATGTATATATCATCTCATTTAGTTAGCATTTATTAAGCACTTACTGTGTATTTGGAAGCATTTAAAGTGCTTTACATGTATTAAATTCTTAAATCTTTACAGCCACCCTGTGAAATGGGTTTTACATGTGGCCAAGGTCATACAGCTAATAATTGACAGGACTGGGATTTGAAATCAGGTCCCTCTGCTTTCACAGCCAAAATTCTTACCACTATGCAGTACCTCTCACAAACTTCTTATGTTTGCAAACCACCTTCATGATCTTTGCCATATTCAAACACCACCTGACTATTATTTAGTTAATATTTTTCCTGAAATTAACTTACATGGCATGGTGGTAAGAAGCCGTGGTGGCACAGTGGTTAAAGAGCTCAGCTGATAACTGAAAGGTTGGCAGTTCAAACCCACCAGCTGCTCCAGAGGAGAAAGATGTGGCAGTCTGCTTCTGTAAAGATTACAGCCTTGGAAACCCTATAGGGCAGTTCTACTCTGTCCTAAAGGGCCGCTATGGGTTGGAGTTGACTCGATGGCAGTGGAGGGGCGTTGGAAGCACACTAGCTTGGTGAGGATCCTGGCTGCTCCCCTGACTTTGTATGAACTCTCTAAGCCTCCATCTCTCCATATAGATGGTACTTTCCCTCACAGGGTTGCTGTGAGCATGAGGTGAGTTAAGACATGTAAAGGTCTCAGCACACAGTGAGGGTGGTAGTCAGTGGGCACTGTGCTTCCCTGTCTCTTTGAGTTAGAAGTAGCCATGTGACTTGCTTTGGCCATTGAAACGCTCACATGAGTGACATGTGGGTCATTCCAGGTGGAAGTTTTCGAGCCAGTGTACAATTCCCACTCTCTCTCCTTCCTTCTGCCTTGATGACAACAACATTCCAAATGATGGCTCCTCCACCCACCTGGATTCCAGAGTGAGGAGTCCCAAGCTCATCTACGGTGGACATGTAGCCTTGAGCGAGAAATGAACCTTTATTGTTTTGTCAGTGCAGCACAGCCTGGCCTATACTGACTGATGCAGTAAATGCTCAATGAATGTTAACTTACTAACATGTTATTTATTATGCCTTATACATGTTGTTTTCTTATTTTTATTTTTTGGTTTTTTTTTGGTGCCAAAACTTGGGATTGAACCTTATACAGTTTCTTAAAGAGCCCCGGTGGCAAAAATGATTAAGCAGTTCGGCTGCTAATCAGAAGGTTGGCGGTTCAAACTCACCCATTGGCTCTGCAGGAAAAAGACCTGGCGATCTTCTTTCATAAAGATTACAGCCTAGAAAACCTCCAGTTTTACTCTGTCACATGGGGTCGCTATGAGTTGAAAATCAACACAATGGCACCCAACAACAACAACAACAACAACAACATACATTTTCTTAAAAAGAGAATTTTATATAACTTTTGTACGCAGAAAAGAAAAAAACCAAAAAACTACAAAAAACCACAAAAAACCAGTACCACTTGCCATGATTAAATACATTATCACATAATAATTAAAATATTTTTCAAAGTTTATCCTCATACCAACTAAAATCATTGTGTGTACCACCTGGAAAATGTACATGTACCACCCTTCAAGAAGTGCTGCTTGAGTGCGCCCCCTTAGGAGTTGAACAACGGCTGGTTTGGAAACTCTGACCACGGAGCACCTCATGGTCTGCTCCAGGGCACTGCCCTTCCCAGCTGGAGCTCCCAGCTGCCAGACCAGTTCTGCAGCTGATACCAATCCACGCCCTTATAGGGGCACCCACCCTGGCTGTGCTGTGTCCCTTACCTCTGCAGACGGTGCCATTCTCCACAGCCTCGAAGCCCGCTTTGCACATGCAGCGCCCAATGGGCACCAGCCACTCGCCATCCCCATTGCAGTAGAGCTTGATGGGCACATCCACCTCCTCAGCATTGGCGATGCAGCTGCCTCTGGCGGCAACCAGCGATGTGCTTTCAGCCCCCGACAGTGTCTCCTGGAAGATGGCACCATTCTGGATGACACGGGGGCACTTGCGGTAGAAGACGTGCACAGCGATGAGGGACATGCAGCCACCGTAGTCCTGGAAGGCCAGGTAGAAGCCATTGCGGGACACGGGCCCAAAGCTCCGCACCTCGGTATTGATCTTCATGACTCTGCCGCCCAGATCTACCTGGGAGAAGCTCTCATCAGCTGCGATGGTGTCCACCTTCACCCATGGGTTCTCCATCCAGCTGGGGAAGGTCTTGGTGGCTGAGTCGTAGTCGGCCTCATAGTAATAGAGATTGAAGGTCTCCTTGCAGGAACCGGGCACGCTGGGGATGCTGCTACAGTCTCGCACGGAGAACTTCATCTCCACGTGAATGCGGTGGGCGCCACGGCGCCGGATGAACTTGGTCCGTAGCCAGTTGTTCTGGCTCGACTCAAACACGTTGCATACCTGGTACGTGCGGATGGTGTTCATGTTCTCATCGTAGCCACTCACCTCTTCCCACTGTGGGTGAAATGCAAGTCAGGTGGGGGAGACACAGACCTTGCCTTAGGGATCTTCCAGTCTGATGGGGTAGACATGACAACTACCATCAGGGTCCTCTTGGTCTAATGGGGGAGACACAGACTCTGCCTTAGGGATCTTCCAGTCTGATGATGGAGACACTATCCCTACCATCAGAGAACTCCCAGTCTGATGGAGGAAACACGGCCTTGGCCCTGGTGAATTCTCCAGTCTGTAAGGGAGACACACCAGTCTGACGGGAAGGGGCACAGACCCTGCTCTTGGTATCCCCTAGTCAACAGGGGAGACACAGCCCTTATTGTTAAGGGTTCACTAATCTGATGAAGGAGACAGTGCCCTGCTCTAGGGAAGCTCCCACCTGGAAGGGAAGACAGGGAGAGCCCTGCCCTTAGGGAGCTCCTCTGCTGAGAGAAGAAATAGCTTTATGCTTGGGGAGCTACTCGTCTGATGGCGAGACAGAACTTCTGCCCTCTGGAAGCTGGAACATAGTCCTTGCCCTTCGGGACTCCCAGCTGATGGGGGAAGACAGTCCCCAGGGTGATGGGGAACACAGGGCCCTTCCCATAGAGCAGCTCTGCTCTGGGGCTTTAACCTGCTAAGGTTTCCTTCAAGAGCTGGCAGGCTCTCTGGTACCTGGAGGGAGACCTCTCGGCCTCCCTGCCTAGGGAGGGTACCCCGCTGAGAGTCCCCAAGCCTCATTGCTGGAGAGAGATGGGCCAGGCTGTGGAAGATTGGGAAGAGGAAGGCACAGAGCCCGTGTTCCCTTCTCGTGCCCTCACGGGTCGAGCTCAGTCCCCGTGCTGAGCCTTTGCCCACACTTTGGCACCCTCCTGGAGCACCCCCTCTCTTCTCAGTCTGTCCTTCTGGAATCTCTTGTAGTGGGCTCTCCCTCAGGCTTCTTGGTATTTGCATTCCGTGACTCTCCGTTGGGCCTTGGGGACTATCTACCAGGTATGTGTCTGGCTCACTCAGCCCACTTGGTCTGGTCTCCCAGTGAGGCTGAAAGCTCGCTGTGAGTACAACCCATCCCCACCTTCTCTGTGTCCTCCTTGAGCTGGCCGCCCCTGGGGTCGACCCAAAGGAGTCCCAACACCAGAGGCCCCTCCCACCAGAGCCAGGCCTGGGGCTGGGTTCTGGAACAGGATCTCATTTCTTTGTCATGATTATTGCACATGGTATATGTGATCATTCCCATTTTATAGATGAGGGAGTAGAGACCAGAGAAGTGATGCCACTTGACCCAGGTCACACAGGCCCAGCCCCGTTCATGTGCTGCCTCGAACAAAAGGACCAAACAGCGCACCAGGATACCTGAGTTCTAGTCCTAGCTCTGCTAACTTGATGCATGGCCTTGGGCACGTCACCATCCCTGTCTGGGCTTCTGTCTCCAAAACTGCCAATGTGAATGTGGTGGGGGGAGGGCAGGTAGTGGGAGAGGTTCACCCTCAAGTGGGTGTTCTTTGTCCTTTTGCCTCTCTGGGCCAGTCTGCTGGGGTGAAGCGGTGGCTGCTAGTGGGGAAGGATGGCTGCTCTGAAGGGTGAGCACGCGTGGGGAAGGGGAAGTGGGGCTGGAGCCTGCTGGCTCGGCCTTTTCTTTAATGGCGGCTCTGGAGCTTCCTACAATGCATTTGATTTTTTATATTTTTTTGGTGGCACCATGTGACAAAGTCAGCCCCTTGTTACAACTGCTGCTCTTCTTCAGAACTTAATTAGAGCACTTAATTAGAGCACTCTGCCTTTCTCCCCTCTCTCTAATTAACATGCGGAGGCCCTGCAGCCTAAACACCCCAAATAATTGCGTCCGGGGGGGCCCTGAAGCCCAGCCTGGCCTCATTACTGGCAGGGTGGGGCTGTGGGCCCAGCCGCCTTCGCAGATGGAAAATTGGTGACAAGAAAGAGCCACAGAAAGAGACCTGACCCCAGGGCCCTGCCTATTGAGAGCACAGGCCGCCTGGCGGGGAGGCGGGGTATGCAGCTCCCAGAAGCAGCAGCTGAGTCCCAGTGGAGAAGCTGGGTGGGGGGAGGGGAGGGATGAGTTGTGGGAGTCCACAGCCCTCCCCAGAGGCCAAGGGCATGAGGAGAGAATGACATTAAAGCTGATGATGATGACGATAGTGACCGTTATAGCTACTCTTGATTGAGGGGTCCACTCTATGCCAGGCACTGTGATAGACACTTTGCAGAAAAACCTCACAACAGCCCTGTGCAGAACACATTATTATCTCCAGTTTATCGATGAGGACACTGAGGCTCAGAGAGGTGTAGGAACTGACCCAAAGTCACACAGCTTGTTAGGACAGAATGTCAGGAGTGTCTGACCCCACAGCCTGTGTGCAGGTACAGGGCTGGGTGTTGTGAGGAGAAAGAGGAATCTCAAATTGTGTCCGATCTTGTCCTCGGGGAGCTCATAGCCCACGCAAAGGTCCAGACAAGCAGACCCAAGGAAGCGTGAGCTGAGCCCTGGGAGGCAGATCCTTGTGTTAGGGGGATACAAAATGGGGACAGAGAGGACTCAGTCACAGCCCTGGATACAAAACTGAGCCCCATCACTAACTAGCTGTAGGGCCTTGGACAGGTGGCTGGCTACACCTCTCTGAGCCTTAGCTTTCACATCTATAAAATGGAGGTAATTCCTCCTCATAGGATTGGAGATGATGTGTCTACAGGTGTTTAATACAGTACCTGACACATAGTGGGTGCTCAGGAAATGGCAGATCACTTTCCTCATCTGTAAAATGGGGGCAGTGCAGGTGCTTACTTCTCAGCTTCACCCTGCGGCTTCCATGGGATAAAGATGGAGAGCAGCCAGTATGTTGTCATGGCAACTGGTGCTCCATCAATGGTAGGGGACCAGGTGGGTGGGGCAGTGAGAGGCCTGGCTCTGGGCCCTGAAGGAGCAAAAGGGGCTAGAATGTGAGGGACATCCAGGGCCCTGCCAGAGTCCCAAGAGTCCTGAGGGACCAAGCAGGACTTGGGGGCTATGGACTCACCCCTGATGGAGGATGCACGATCCAGCCCAGCTCAGCTGTCGCTGTGGTAGAGTCCATCAGCGTTTCTGTGGGGAGAGCAAAGGGTCACTGGCCAGCCCCACCTACTGGTGCTGTCAATCACTCTGCCATGCCCCCAAGACACCACCCTCCATGGTCCTTCTTTACATAGCCCAGCCCACTTCCATGGCCCCAATCCTCTGGCCTTAATCCTTAAGGCTACTCCCCCCACTAGGCCTCCCTTTCCACCCCATAATCCCACCTACTGACTCCACATAGCTGTATACCCAACTCCCACCCTTCCACCCATGGTTCCATCCATCCCCTCAGCCGGTCATGTCCCACATCCCTAGCTACTGCCCCTTCCCTCCTTTTCGTGTGGAGGGAGGTTTTAACTTGGGGTCTCCTGGATGGGCTTGAGAAGGTCCACCATGTTTTTTACTAGTTCCATGGGGTCAACTCTGAATCATGGTGACCCCAAAGGTGTCAGAGTAAAACTGGGCTCCATGAGGTTTTCAATGGCTGGTTTTTTGGAAGTGGATCACCAAGACTTTCTTCCGAGGCACCTCTGGATGGACTTGAACCTCCAATCTTTCGATTAGCAGCTGAGTACATTAACCATTTGCACTACCCAGGGACTCTGGATCCACCAGGAAACCCTTGAAAAATCTTTTTTTAATTGTGCTTTAGGTGAAAGTTTACAGCTCAAGTTAATTTCTCATACAAAAATTTATACACATATTGTTATGTGACACTAGTTGCAATCCCTGTAATGTGACAGCACACTCTCCCTTTCCACCCCACGTTTCCCGTGTCCATCTAACCAGTTCCTGTCCCTTTCTGCGTTCTTATCCTGCTTCTGGACAGGAGCCACCCATCTGGTCTCGTGTATCTGCTTGAACTAAGAAGCACACTCTTCACAAGTATTATTTTATGTTTTATAGTCCAGTCTAATCTTTGTCCGAAGTGTAGACTTCAGGAATGGTTTTAGTTCTGGGCTAACAGAGTATTGGGGGGCCAAGGCTTCGAGGGTTCCTCCAGTCTCAGTCAGACCATTAAGTCTGGTCTTTTTACGTGAATTTGAGTTCTGCACCACACTTTTCTCCTGCTCCGTCAGGAACTCTCTGTTGTGTTCACGGGCAGGGTGGTCATTGGTGGTAGCCGGGCACCATCTAGTTCTTCTGGTCTCAGGCTGATGGAGTCTCTGGTTTATGTGGCCCTTTTGTCTCTTGGGCTAATATCTTCTTTGTGTCTTTAGTGTTCTTCAATCTCCTTTGCTCCAAGTGGGTTGGGACGAATTGATGTATCTTAGATGGCCGCTTGAAAGTTTTTAAGACATTAGACACCACTCACCAAAATGGGATACAGAACATTTTCTTAATAAACTTTGAAGCCCTTCAAATTTTATGGCAATTTATTACATCAAATTCTCAAAAAACAGGAGCATGGTCCCTAAAGGGGCCACCCTTCCATCCCAGCTGGCCCAGGAAACTGGAGTCCTCCATTGGGTCCCCATTCCTGGGGTCCTCTTCCAGGACTCAGCCAACTCTGCCCCCAGAGTAGGGCTGGGGAAGAAGGGTGTTGAGGGTGAGCCCTGCCCCCAGTGTGCCCAGCCCCCTGGGGGTTTGGGAGACTCAGACCAGCTTCTGGACTGGCCAGGGCCCACTGGCCTCCCCTCAGTTCTGCTGGCTGGAGAGAAGGGACAAGGAGACACACAGGGCCAGAGAGACCCCATTCACTCCCCAGTCAGGCTCAGGACCCCTTTCCTCTACTCTTTACATGTGACAGGGGCTTCAAAACACTTTTTAAACTGAATTTCATTACATGGAAAGGACTTAAATTGATCACTTTCGAGAAAATATTCAACAAATCCAGCAAATTTTTTCATTCAGCAAATACATCCTGATGCCCATTATGTACCAGGAACTATGCTGAGCACCCTGAAGGAGAAAACAGTGAATCGCAAGACCCTACTGTTGAGCAGTTCACAGTCTGGTGATGGAGATGAGGTGTGAATCCAAATAGCTATGGGAGAAGTTTGGACTTGATCCCACAGGGCAGATGACCCATGAAAACAGGCAGAGAGACTTAGAAGGTCACAGCTGGACAGGACCTTCCATACCACGCAGCTCAGGGAGAGCGGAAGAGAGGCATTCTGTGCCCAGGGCAGACATCACTAATTAATCCCTCCACTCTGTGGCCACACAATGCTTCTCAGCACAGTGCTCCAGAAGACTAATACTGGTTTGAGATGCTGCTCCTGGTTCAGCCCAACCACTTATTTTGGAGATAAAGCAACTGAGGGACAGAGAGGGGAAATTACTTCCCAAAGATCACATGGGAGTTGGCGGCAAAGTGGGAACTCCAGGTCTCCTGCCTCCTGCCCTGTAAACTTCTAGACACTTTAAAGGAATTTGATGGCCTGCGCTGGACGAACTAGGGCAAGGAGAGTAGTGCAGGGAGTCCAATGTCCAGGCTGCTGTGAAGGTCCATAGGGGAGCTAACAAGGCTTGAACTAGGGCAGGGGTGGTGGGGATGGAGGGCGGATGGGAAGAAGCATTGGACCAGGGGCAACCCCAGTTGGCCCTGCGATCTGACAAGAGGATGTGAGGCATCCCCAGGACCGCCTGTGGCTTGTGTTTGAGGTCACTGTGTCCCTTTGCACTGGGGGCTGGCAGGAGGGGTGTGTGTGCCAGGGACGGTGGAGCCCAATGCCAAGGGCGTCTTTTTGATGGCAAATTGGAGGGAAGTTCTATTATGCTGCTTTGGAGCTGAAAAAAGGGGTCCTTTTCACACTTGGAATGCTACGGATTTTTCTTCCTGGAGAGAACAAGGGATGAACTTTTAACCTGTTTTCTCTCATTGGCCTCAGCCTAAGACGCGCCAAGCCGGGCTCTCTGCCTGGGCTCGAGAAACAGCTGCTGGGAGCTGCGTGGAACAAGGGAGAGGGGAGATTCTGCTTGGGAGGAGAAAAGGATCGTGGGGGAGGAAGCCCGCCAAGCAGGTGGCCCCACCCCTTGGCTGGACTCCTGGGCTGACCAAGAGGCCAAGCACTAGAGGATTCTGTGGCCCAGAGAAGGACATCCTCATTATACAGATGGAAACGTGGGCCCAGAGAGGGCAAAGGACTTACCAAAAATCATATGCTAAAAGCTGGGGCTTACACCTTGAGCTCCCAAGAAGCTCAGGCTAGGGGTCCCACTACCCACCTCTGCCTTCCACCACATCTGGCCTTGTTCATTAGGAATTCACGGCCCAAACACATGCTGGGTAGGGAACAGGAAGGGGAAGATCTCAGAAGGACTGGAAGTAAATGGACTGGCTGGTTCACACTCCAGTTAACCAATTGCCATTGAGTCAATTCCAACTCATGGCAACTCCATGTGGGTCAGAGTAGAACTGTGCTCTATAGGGTTTTCAATGGCTGATTTTTCAGAAGTAGATCACCAGGGTTTTCTTCCGAGATACCGCTGGGTGGACTCAAACCTCCAACTTTTTGGTTAGCAGCCGAGCACGTTTATCACTTGCACCACTCAAGGACTCCTGGCTCACAGACAGGAAGCAGTGAGCAGTCTGCAGATCCCCTTGGAAGGACAGGGCAGGCAGAAGCCTCCTCTGTCCCTTCTCACCATGCCAGTCCTGGGCTTTGCCTAGAAACTGGGCAAACGGTGAGATCTGTTACCCCTCTGGGCCGTAGCAGGAGAGAATACATGGGTTCTCTCTCCTCAACTTTCCCTTGGCCTTTTGCTTTTTAATTTTGACACTTCTATCTACTGGCTGCAAAAAAGGCAGGTTAACAGAGAAGATGAACCAGGAGCTGGGATGTCAGAAACCTAGTTGCTGTTGAGTTGATTCTGACTGATGGCAACCCCATGCATGTCAGAATAGAACTGTGTTTCACAGGGTTTTCAATGGCAGATTTTTTGGAAGTAGGTCGCCAGGCCTTTCTTCTGAGGTGCTTCCGGGTAGACTTGAACCTCCAACCTTTTCGGTAGCAGCCAAGTGTGTTAATCATTTGACCATCCAGGGCTCCTGAGAAACCTTGATTCTAACACAAGCCCTGCCATCTACTTGCCTTGTAACTTTGGACATGTAACCTTTCTAAGCCTCGATTTCCTCACCTGGAAATGGTCATACTACTACCTTCTGAGTGTGGACGTGAGGACTAACTAAGACGTGAAGTATATTAGCTTGGAGCCCAGAACAAAGCAGAGCCTCAGGAAGTGGCAATTATTACTTTCAGATTGAGTGTGGTGCTTCCTGGCAAACCCAGCGCCTGCACACACGCCATTTCCTTTGGGCTCATTAGGTGGCCCCTGAAAGTGAAGAGGCTCCAGCTTAGGCCACCCAGCTCCCCCAGCCTGCAGACTGTGCCTGCCAACATCTGACAAACATCAGACTCTGCACTCGAAGTCCGCAGCCCCCCAAGGAGCGCTTCCTGGTCCATCTGAAGCTGCTTTCCTGGTAGGCCCTGAGTTTCTTCTTTGTTCTTCTCAAACCAAGCACAAAAGTCAAGTTAAGTTCCCCGGGGAAAGTGGAGTTAGTATTTCTTGCTTCAGGGACCAGGGTAGGTTCAGGGAGCCAAGACCTATTTCCACCATCAGCACCTCCTTCCTCCTCTCTATAACACCCCAGACATCTCCCCTCTAATCCTATTACCCTGAAAAAGGGAGAACGCATGTCCACTGACCCTTTACTAGGAACCAGATGCTCTTACCAACATTCTCACAACAACGCCAAGAGGTAGTTGATACTGCCCCATTTCACAGATGGGAAAACAGAGGCTTCCAAAGACTCAAAACTTGCCCGAGGTCACAAAGCTACTCCATTCACAAGCTGTGCTCCAGCTGCACAGATTTTTCCTTCTGACCTTCTCCCGCTCCTGCCCCGCCCTAATTCTCCTCATTCGTGAAGTCTCAACTCAGGTCACCTCCTCTGGGAAGTCCTCCTGAGTCCACACCGCCCCCACAGCTCTGATAATGCAGCCAGTTGCTGGTGTTTCTAGATGTCCTGGCACTTGCAGATGCCCCTGTCCACCACTCTGTTCCAGTAATCTGTGGTCCCCTGAAGGGCAGG